CATACAAACTTACATACATACATACATACATACAAGTACATACCTTTCAATTCATTTGTGCTTCCAACATGCTACCCTCCGGTTGATCGCTAACTCCGGCGGCCTTCACCCAACCACCGGGTTTCAACTGACATCGGGCTCCAGCTAGCCATCTTAAAATCAAGGAAGATTTACATACACACCACTCAATTCTTATATATTTGTATATCTATATGCATGCCACTCAATTTGTTTGGGCTTCCAGCAAGCAGCACTCCGCCTGACTGGTGAGCAAATGAAAGACTCGCCTCCTCGGCGAGCAAATTAACCAATGCGAACATTCATCACCAAGCAACTATCGTAAACAGATAACCCGATAAAGGTAAAATGCTAAAACAAGATGAAGCAAATAAAACCGGCTGAAGGTCATCTTAATCAGCCAAAGGTTAGTTAGCTGACTAGCAACACAGATCAAAATTGACCCCAAAAAAACCTTAGGAGAGCACTCCACGGTCAATGAAAATATAGTGTTAAGAGACACTAACATTAATGGTGTATAATTGTTGCATTATTGTGATTATATTTTTTGCATTGAAAGTCTCTCATTCCTATCATAACTTCATTTCTAAGAGAAAAAGACTTGGGGGCATTTATGTAAGTCTGAAAAATACCTGTGCGGATCTAAATTAGAGTTGACGAGATAGAGACCACCCAACCACTTCATTTAGCCGATCACATCGTCGAATAGACCCAACAACAACAAAATGTCAGATATACAAAAGATGTCAGTGAAGACAATAATAACTTGTAACTCCCATGAGTAATAATAAATTGCAACTCTCAAGGGTAATAGTGTAATTTTTGCATTTTTATCCTCCTATCATCTATAAATATGATTGTTATTATTATTATTATTATTTTATGTAAGGGGACTTATATCACTTGAGCTTTCAGTCATTTATACACCGCTCTCACATTCTATTATAAAACTTCTTTTTAATATATAAAATAGGTCTGAGAGTCTAGGAAGAGGCAAGAGCAATCCCTTATCATTCTCTCTCTCTCTCTCTCTCTCTCTCTCTCTCTCTCTCTCTCTCTCTCTCTCTCTCTCTATTTCTAAACTCTATTCATTAGACATGATAAGTTTGGATTTAACATAAATATATGAATAAATTAAAATTTTGTGATATGTATGTAAATGTCCTTTTACGGTGCCCGACTACTCGAGCCATTTAAAAATTTAACAAAATTTTATTAAATTTTAATAAAGTTGTATTGTTGTTTATTGCACTTATTAAAAAGCCATCAATTTTATTATTATTTA